GGCTCTTACTTGGGCAGGGCCAGGCCGTGCTTGTCCAGCTGTGGGTGCAGATCCGCCAGGAGGATGCCGGCCTCCACGGTCACCTGCTTCTTCTCTGTGTCCACCTGCAAGACACCAGCACAGGCCGGGCCGGGCTGGTGGGCCACTGCCCAAACCCCACCTGCAGGCAGGCTCCCCACGAGACAGCGTCTGTCTCTGTGGTCAGCCAGAGTCACCTCCACGGCAGGCCGAGGGGGGAGGGCAGAGCCCTGGACAGCTGGAGACTTGGGAATATTCTGGAATGGTGTGCTTTCTTTCACAGGTGAAGAGAATAGGGGCAGAAGAGATTGGCCAAGGTCACGGGCAGAGCAAAAGTTCACGTCTCCTAACAGCGCCTAGGAGCAAGATCCCCAAGCTGAGACCCCGAGGGGGAGAAATCACCTCTCTCTGGAGCCTGGCGCGGGGTGGGGGGGAGCCCCCGGTGGAGCGGGGCGGCGGTAGGAGCCAGGGCCCCCTGCCCCGGGAGGAGACCAAAGTCCAGGGATCGAAGTCACTCCCCAAGGTCACACAAACACAGGGGCGGGACTGAGTCCAGCGGCCACATCTGCGTGACCAGGGCACCAGCTCCCTGTAGTCCCAGCTCCAGCTCGGAGCCAGCTCCTGCAGCCCAGTCCTCACTGGTGAGCAATCAGAGCTAATTAGGGCTGGGGTGGCATCTCGCCTGGAACGCTTCAGGCGGTGGAGCTCGCTGGCCCGAGCCACTGCGGAATGGCAGAGAGGAGCCCAGACCCCGCTGCAGGGCCAGGTGGGCGGGGGTGGAGGCACCTATTTCTGCTCAGAGCGCTGGCCCCGCAGGTGAGGAGAGGAGCCCTGGCCTACGGCACACCTGTCTGGTGCCATCCAGCTGGCAGGCACAGCGGGCATGGATGCGCGGACGGTATGCCAACACGGGGCTGGCGTCCGGCTCCTGAGTCTGTGCCCAGCTCTGCTGTGGGGTTGGCCGGCTGGGTGACCCCAGGCAAGTCACTTGCCCTGTCTGATCCTTCCTTTACCTATTTGTATAAAGGGTCCTTTTGTATACACAGGCCCTTTTGGTTTGTCATGGTGACTCCAACTGAGACCTGACTGCAGGTTTTGTTCCAGAAGCTCTCAAGCGGCAAAGGCCGAGCTGGCGGCCGGCGGGGATCCTCTCTGTGGCCACGAGGGGGCGTGCCGGCCACGCCAAAGTGGCGCCCTCTGGGTAGGACCGGTCAGGGCATCATGGGCAGGACTGGGGGTGCAAGGGGGCAGGGCG